AAGAACAGCATTTGTCTAAAATAGAAATTGTTTGTAACATTATAAATGTATTTATCATAAATTTTGATCAATTTAAAGCATCCTTGCTAAATAAAAGTATTAATTTCATATTACATATTTCAAAATTGTACTGTTTTTGCTGTACTTTGGATCAAATAAAAATGTGTTTAAAAAAATCATGTCACCGTTATTGAAAAAAATTATATTGCGATACATATTGATATTGAATTATTGTCCAGCCCTACTATATTGCAATATGAAAGATATGGATAAACTAAACTATACTAAAGAATAAGACAGTCTGTCGTAACAAGATACCTAACCCTCCTTTTTCTGCATATTGTTGCATTTTTATGCAGTTTTCATACCTAGAAATTGAATGCAAATGTGTTTTAACATGTTTTTACAAGTGGAATTGGACATTTGCTTAGAGAAAAGTACATTTCTTTTAATAACCAATACAAATAAATAAACAGTATTATGATAGTTACATTTTTTTCCATGCAATATATTCATGCAACTATCATAATGCAGTTTATTTGATAATTTAGTTTGACATACTACATAACTAAAAATTGAATGCAAAATATTTAAATGCAGTTCTGTTTAACGTGATTTTACAAGTGAAATTTGACATTGGGAAAATTAATTAGAACTTTAAGAAATACAAAAAAAAATAAAAAATCACAGATCTATAAAAATGGTATTATGATGGTATTGTCACTGACATATTAAATGCTTAGAAATCTAATGCAAAAATCTTTTGGTAACGCTTTACAATAAGGTTCAATTAGCAGGGTTTCCGCGGGTCTTAAAGTCTTTAAAAAGTCTTAAATTTAGTTATCAAATTTAAGGCCTTAAAAAGTCTTAAGTTGTACAAGAGAGTCTTTAATTATGATTTCAAGCGGTCTTAAATTTGGGGACGGAAAGACTAGAATTGCGATATGGCTGAATGTGACGATTAAACTTAAAGTCTATGATTTCATGAAATAAACACGAGCGCTGCGAGTTCAAAGTTCGGTGCTGCACTGCTTTGTGTACACAGTGTTACCGGGGAAACAGTTGTATTTCTACCAAACGCTCCACCTGCTGTCAGAGAATGAATGAGCATTTTCAATAAAACTGTTGTTTTGTTCAGAGTTCAGACAAATGCAAAAATCGAGCCATGTTTTTACCCTGCAAACATGCAGAGCTTTAAATGTGAACTGGTGGATCGATAAGAAGACAATGCATTATAAAAATCGAATAGGGGTGTGCGATTTGCATGGTCTGCGATAATATCGTAATTGTTGTTTTAACGATGTGCGATTTGATATTATCGAGTATATCGTGAAAAGCAAACAAAACACCTACAGAGTGCGCGCATACATTACTTGATGAAGTCTAGTAGGTTAGACTAGTGCGCGTGCGCATTTATAGTGCGTTCTTTCACTACATGAATCAGTCTATTAAAATGCATTTAGAATTATAGATATGGGGCAGAAAATGTATATATATCATTTCATATAGTTAATATCACACGAAGAGTGCCGTTTTTTTCTCCAAAATTCAGCATGATTACAAATGTGATATTGATTTTATACAAGAGTTTGCTCTATTTCTCCAACAAAAATCATTCCAAACAGCCACAGCGCTGTTTTGTGTCTCCTGAGCAACATAAGGGTGTTTTGTTCCTGAATTAATCAACTGTTTAAATTATTCTGTTCAATCGCAGTGACTCACTTAACAGTGACTTGCTGCCACCTACTGGCGGTTTTAATTTCACATTTAAGGTACCTTTTCATTTTTTAAAATAATTTCAAACATCAGTTTTTAATGTTTTATGTTTAAAATATCAAAACATTATTTATGCATTTGTATCTGCAGGTTAAAGTATTCTATGTCCCTCTGAGCTGCATTAAACCGTGTGTATCTACATGCCACTAATGCATCTAAATGCCACTTCTAATGCAGCTTCTGTGTTTCCTCTGCATTGCAAAGATAAATTTTGTTGATACTGATTTCATTTGCTTGGTAACAGCCCAAATGCAAGAATTTGACTCAAAAGATGGTGCACCCTTTTAGAAAAAATGGCTTAAAGATAAAAATGCCCATAAAACCTGTTGGAAATAATTAATTTGTATCACCGCTGTGAACTGACCACACAGAATATGAAGAATATCAAAACATTCAGGAGTCCGCTGTCGGCACAATTAGAGATGAGGTATCAGCACAATAACACACTCGGCAAAATATTGTCTAATTATCATTATCGATAAAATCCCCGAAAATTATAGAGAGAGAATTTTTTTGTCAATATTTCACACCCCTAATTCATTTAATTGGTATAATAATTTATTGATGATAATTGTTTAAATTAATATAATAATTAATACTTTTGACTTTTACGTCAATTAATACGTTTTCTTAAAAATGGTTTAAAGGCTGAAATGTAAAGTTTATCATTTTATAAAACTTTTTGTTTTCGTGAAAACTTGTAAGTTATGCTTTTTACAGTAACTTTACAGATTAATATGGCACTATAGACATTGCCCTACCCCGCTCATATGGTATTAATTTTATTTGTGCAGGTCTTAAAAAGGTCTTAAATTTGAGCTTAAAAATCCTGCAGAAACCCTGAATTGGTTAATGTATTAACATCAATGAACAATACATTTATTACAGTATTTAATAATCTTTGTTAATGTTAGTTAATGAAAATATAGTTGTTCATTGTTGGTTCATGTTAATTGACTGTGCATTAACTAATGTTAACAAGCACAACTTTTGATTTTAATCATGCATTAGTAAATGTTGAAATTAACATGAACTAAGATTAATAAATCTTTTTTTATTATTATTATTTATTTATTTTATTAAATGAATGGTCCATGAAATTAAATTCAGACATTATCTTTTGCTTTAGATTCACAGAAGTAAGAACAAATGGAAATTTCACCTGAAAGATGGGATAATGAATCTGAACGGGCGGGATTACGTGTTCTCCAAAGCCATTGGAGATGCAGAGTGGTAAATGGTGAACAAAACCCAAAACTGTCCACTCTTAAGGCAAGACACATCATGACCTGAAACTGTACATTTCAGGAGATTCCCAATTTGGGGGCTGAAGAGTAACGTCCCAGTGCTACTGTGCTGTTTGAGCGATATCGGCACAAAAATAACGTGCCATCCAAGAGATTTGTTTCTTTCTATTTCCCCCTCCTTTTAAGATGGCTCTTTTACCTGTAGAGTTTCACAGGAGTCCGTAACTTCTCTTTTAGAGCAATATTCTTGCCCCCTCAGATGTATGAAAATATTTTAGGCGCAGGGAGCCAATTTTAGCGCCTGGCGCTAACTTAAGTTGACTGGTGTGTTGAGACGGCCTTTTTACTGCAACTGTGTGTGTTTGTTGGTGATTTCCGTAGCTAGGTCAGCCGTATGAATCCTGTGTAAAGCGAATCATCCAACACGAGGACTATTTCATCACCATTTGCCACCTTATACAAACACTAAAACAAGCAACCAAGAACTGTGTTCCAATAAATTCCTTTCATATTTGCTATGTTTTTAGAACTTTGTATGTTCAACAGCAGAGATACCAATGAAAACAGGCAAGTTAAGTGTAACGTTGTCGATCTCACTAAATTGTTAACGTGTTTGTACGTCTGTCATGGACTTTTCTAACTGTACTCTGGCTAAAGATCTGCTCTGTCAGTATGATGCATGTTTTTGGGCAGTGCATCACAGAGCTTGCGTCGTCCTGCGTGTGTTTGTGTGCAATTATTGCGTTAGGTGTCAATTAAGTGCTCTGTCAGGCCACCCTTCATACTTGCTATCAGGCTTATTTTACACTTCTAGTAGTTCGTATTTATTCCTGAAGCTCAGGCAGTGTTGAATTTCGAGGGATGAAACCGAACTGTGCTCTTAATGATAGAAATGCTCCTTTCAGCCTGTTCTCTGCTGAGGAGGATTTCAACACCTGATTCTGTGCATTGTGGAGCTTTATTTTATTTAATTTTGTCCTCCATATTTTGTTTTATAGTATTTAGTCTGGCTTTTTAAGTGGGCCCTCATACAGTCTGGGAAATGACAGTGTGTTGTTCTGTGTCTGTATGTTCAGCAGTTGAAAATATTGACATGCTGGTTTATTATATTATGTTCATTCTAAGATTGTTCAGTGAAATGGCTTGGACTAGTGTTGGGGCTTTTTTTATTTAAATTTTTTTTTGTAGTTCATTACGCTCCTTGTTTGTGCCTTTCAGGTTTAGTTTAGATATCAGGTCTTTTGTCTAAAGGGGAGAGCCTTTAACAAATTCTACAAACTGTACATTTCGCTTTGCTTTTCTAATGGTAAGTAAAGAATACTTCAGAACTACTGTCTGGTTTATGTGATTACCAATCAAACTGCTCTGTCTCTGATTCTCATCTCTATGAAGGCTGTGTTATGTAAGTAGAGCTCTTTAGTATTTTGTTGAAACATTGAGTTTGATTATTTTTGCCTTTTGAACTTTATTAAAGCACTATTAAAATTGACTCTTATTCTTCAGCTGCATTTGCATTTTGCAATTTGTCTTCTGATCAATGCTGCCTTGAACTTCAGTATAATTTATATATTCATATGTAGAATTTTTTTTTTCTTTTTTTGCAGGGGTGGATTCTTAATGTCAACAAATGTTGAAATTGACCTTACTGAAGATCTATCGTTAATTATTAATTGCGGCACGTTACAGTCTTGTATGTGTTTTTCATCCAAATGTCATAAATTGTTCTGCCTATGAAACTACTTTGCCTTATTGTCATGCATTGTGGGTTATTAAAAATAATAGTCGAATAGCTTTAGACATGATTTTAGCAAACTAAGCTCAGCAAAAATGTCCTCATGTTTTCAGCAAATTTCTTTACGTGTAAATGTTTTAACAAGTTCAACAACTGAGACGTAAACTGAACAAGTTTCACAGGCGTTTGATGAACAGAAAGGGAATAAAGAGTTTCAGAACAAAGAAGGTGATCGTTGTCAAAAGTCACAGTGAGTATCTTGTGTCCACCAGCTGTTTCAAAGGGATAGTTCACCCAAAAATTAAAAATAAAATGATTTACTCCGCCTCAAGCCATCCTAGGTGTATATGACTTTCTTCTGTCAGTCGAATGCAATCAGAGTTGTATTTAAAAATGTCCTGGCTCTTTCAAGCTTTATAATGAAAGTGAATGGGGGTCAAGATTTTGAAACTCAAAAAAAGTACATCCATCCAAATTAGAGGTACAAACCGACTTAAAAGAAAAATGTCGGAGGATTTCGATGTAAGCCAAGAGGAGACTGGTTTTCCTTTGCTGTAAACAAAACTTGGTTCTCGAGAGACTAGCATATTCTCACTGGAGCTTACGCTATTCCTGCATCATTCGCTGGACGCCACTCTCGTGAACACGTGTACAACAGTTAGCGGAAGCTAGAGGTTATGGTTTATAAGGTTTTAAATATGGATATTTTTCTTAAACTCATTGCTGCAGAAGGCCTTTAACCCCCCCGGAGCCGTGTGGGACACGTTTTATGATAGATTGATGCATTTTTGAATTTGCTTCAAAATCCCATTCACTGCCATTATAAAGCTTGGAAGAGCCAGAACATTTTTTTTTAATCTCCAAATGTGTTCATCTGAAAGAAGAAAGTCATGTACACCTAGAATGGCTTGGGGCTGAGTAAATCATGGGGTAATTTTCATTGTTCGGTGAACTGTCCCTTTAAGTATGATAGTGGATCTCATCCTCATGGACTGCACCAGATTTGCAGATTCTTGCTTCGATCTTTCACCAAGGCATTTGCAAGTTCTTGAACACGTCTGAGGGGAAACTGGTTTCGTGGTTTGCCACTGCAAGGACGATTAGCTGTCCTCCCTGTAGCACTGTCTTAGGCATCTTATATTACAGACATTGCAGTTTATTGCTCTGGCCACATCTGCAGTCCAGGCCAGGAACGCTGGACATCTTTCTCCTGGTGTTTTTCTGAGTCAGTAGAAAGGTCTCTTCGTTGTCCAGTTATTATAACAGTGACCGTAAGTGTCTTAAGGACTGTTCCAGGGCAACAATTGTTTATGGTTCACAGAACAAGTATGAAAAATATTGTTTAAAACCGTTCCAATAAATAACTAAAGCTAATTTAGATTTTACAAAATTATCTTTATAATACAGTGTCCTGAAAAGGGGCGTTTCTTTTTTTTTTCACACTTGGGGGATGTTTATGGATTTCACAATCCAGCTTAAGTAGAACTCCCACCCAAAACATTTTTTAAGATATTTAGCAGTAAGATATTTTAAAAATGTATATATCTTTTTTTTTTAAAGAAGTCTCTTATGCTCAACAAGGTGCCATTTATTTGATCAAAAGTACAGTGAAACAGTAATATTATATACTCTTGTTGTCATATGATACTGCCTGTGCATACCTTTTCCATCCTTGGAAATGCAAAAGTGTTTTTATAAAATACCAAAAATATTGCCATAATTATGTTAAGGAGTTAAACTTTTTTCCTCATTGACTGCAGTTGGTCTCAGCTGAGCTTGCTTTGCTGCAGCAGATGATCTGCCTTAATATGTGTTGTTCCTTACTACAATGGTCCACTAGGTGGCGATATTCCCTCTAGACGTAATTGTTGACCATGTATGGAATCGTAAGTACTAGCTTAACTGCTTGGCAGACTGCAGCTGTAGTGGTGATGGCTGGGGGAGCAAAAGGTGGGTTAAAATCCATGATTGTACAAATAACAAAACATTTAGGGAGTAACACTAAAAAACGAAGTTTTCCTATTTTCACCTTATTCTTTCTTGTCATACCTACATTAACTTCTTCCTCAGTCACGACATAAATGCTTCATCTGCAGTAAAAATCCAGTCTATTGCAGTGCCACACCTCCCTTCTCCTGAATCAGCACTTTTCTGCTGCAGGTCCATAGCATTACCCACTGAGGTTGATTGAGCACCATATGAGCATATGTCTCTCACTCTCCCATGGGTCCTCTTTCCTCCATTTTTTCTATATGACATTCCTCTCAAATTTTCTATCACAGTCCATGTCCTAATACTTATTACTTCCCTCATCCCATCCATTCCTTTCGTCTGAGGTCACAATGCCACGCATGTGTATGTATATTCACCATCTGGGTTTAAAAATCCAGTCTATTGCAGTGCCACACCTCCCTTCTCCTGAATCAGCACTTTTCTGCTGCAGGTCCATAGCATTACCCACTGAGGTTGATTGAGCACCATATGAGCATATGTCTCTCACTCTCCCATGGGTCCTCTTTCCTCCATTTTTTCTATATGACATTCCTCTCGAATTTTCTATCACAGTCCATGTCCTAATACTTATTACTTCCTTCATCCCATCCATTCCTTTCGTCTGAGGTCACAATGTCACGCAAGTGTACGTATATTCACCATCTGGGTTTATGTGCCTCATCAATCTTCACATACACTCCATTAGGCTTGTAATGGAAAGGACAGCTGTGTTCATGTCTCGGTTTCATAAGAATTTTATGCCTGCAACAACATCAGCAGATTATAATGTCTCCAACTCTCTTTAAAATAGGTATGTTTTGGTGTGATTGTGGAAAGTACAGCAGTAACCCTGAGCTTTTATATTTATCACTGTCTACACCCACTTTACAGCTCTTCAGTGTCCTCTGTGACCCCGGCAGGTTGTTCACATGTATAGAGTGCTGTGTATTGTGTGTTTTTCCACGTGGACACCCTGACAGTTTAAACCTAGTGTACGTTATTGAATACTCACAAAACACAATGGTTATGTAATGGAGGAAGCAGATGATTCAAGCAGTAGAAAGACAATAGTCAAGAAACATTATTTAGGATTCTATACTTCATTGTTAATGATTTGATTCAGTTTGGGAGCTTTATGGATTTTTACATTTGACCAAAAAAGGGTGTTAAAATAGTTGCAGTTAGTGGTGGTGCATGGTCTCCTATAAGTTAAGGATGTTGGGGATTTGGATTTTTCTCAGTGACTCAAAAATCAGTTCACCCCGATGGATCCTTCTCTAAATCATTTAGTGGCCCTTGAAGCCAGTAGATGGGGACATTAAAGGAGCAGTCACATGTTCCGAATTCCAGTCATTTCAATAAGAATACCTACAATTGAAAGTTTAGCTTGAGGCTGAAAAAATTTTCAACAGAAAGCTGGATTGAAAGTGTCTTTTGTGTGAACTGTGCTTCATGCATTGCTATAATATTGATAGACACAACATCAAAACCACCTGTTTAATATCATGTAGGTCGCCCTCATGATGCCAAAACAGCTCTGGTGCATCGAGACATGGACTCCACGAGACCGCTGAATGTGTCCTGTCGTTTCTGGCACCAAGACATTAGCAGCAGATACTTTAAGTCCGGCAAGTTGTAAGGTGAGGCCTCCATGAATTGGATTTGATGGTCCAGTACATCCCACAGATGCTCAATTAGATTGAGAACTGGGGAATTTGGAGGCCAATGAAACACCTTGAACTCGTTGTCATGTTCCTCAAAGCATCCCTGACCAATTTTTGCACTGAAATGGGCCACTGCCATCAGAGAACACTATTGCCATGAAGGTACGTGGTCTGCAACAATCTTTAGGTAGCAGACACGTGTCAAAGTAACATAGACATGAATACCAGGATTCATGTTTTCACAGCAGAACATTGTCCAGAGCACAACACTGCTTCCACTGGCAGGCCTTCTTCCCAGAGTGCATCATGCTGTCATCTCCTCCCCAGGTAAATGATGCACTTGCACCCAGCCATCCACCTGATCTAAAAGAGAGCATGATTCATCAGACCAGGTAACCTTCTACCATTGCTCCACGGTCCAGTTCTGATGCTCGCATGCCATTGTAGGTGCTTTCAGCGATGGACAGAGGTCATCATGGGCACTCTGGCGTTCTGCAGCCACGCAGCCCCATACACCGTAACAGAGATGCACTGTGTATTCTGACACCTTTCTATCATGGACAGCATTACTTTACTTTTTTCAGCAGTTTGAACTACAATAGCTCTTCTGCGTGATCAGACCAGACAAGACTAACTTTCTTTTCCCATGTGCATCAATGAGCCTTAGGAGCCCATGACTCTGATGACAGTTCACCGGTTGTGCTTTCTTGCACCATTTTGGTAGGAACTAACCACTGCATACTGGGAACACCCCACAAGACTTGCCGTTTTGGAGATGCTCTGACCCAGTCATCACTATTTGGCCTTTGTCAGTGTTACTTTTCTCTTGCCCTATTGTCCTGCTTCCAACTGACTGTTCACTTACTGTCCAGTAGATCCCACCCCTTGGCAGGTGTTATTCACTTTATCTGTCAGTGGTTTTAATGCTGTGACTGATCAGATTATACCGCAACAATAAGCGTCCAACCGATGTACAGGATGGAAAAAAGTCTTGCCGTGGACAAACCTCTTTGTGAAGAGTGATGAGGGAGTGAAGTGACCAGAAGCAGCTGAATGCTACAGCTGAGATGGAGTGTACAGTTTGATGAGAGATGGAAGATAGTAAGGAGCGAGACTGCTGGCAGTATTGCAGGCCAGAAACAGTGTCCTTAATTTCATCTAAAGTGCACTGACTGTTCTTGAACACTCTCTTGTTTCTTCTGAGAGGACATCAATACTGGTAGGGGAATAAAAGGACTGGGAGAGGCATCTCTATCTGCGGTGTAATGGAAAGATCAGACTTGGCTCACATGCTGGTCAGTGACCTTATGGGTTTAATGGCTTTAGAGGCCATGACACAGTGCAGGGTTCAGTAAAGCTAAACTGATTCAGAAACTGATTTGTTACTTCAGACCAGGAGAGACAAGATGACGAGAAACTGACATCAGATAGTCCTACCAATACAATATGGGCAGAGGCCCTGTGGTCAGACTTAAAAATACACATTTACACACATGAATGTATGCATGCATCCCAGGCTCGTCTGAAACATTTGAGACCGGGAAGAGCAAGGCGATATGCTGTAACATGCACATGCGATTAAAAAAAAGCACACACCCACAACCTTATATAATAAGGACTCTGCCACTACAAAAAAGACTCCACCACTTTATACATGATGAAGCAATGTGTAACAACTGACCATGTATACATGCTTTTAAAGAGATACCCCTTGTCCAAATACCCACACTTGCAGTCTTGGCCACTTGAGAGCGTGTGCGTGCGACAGGAAGTAAGTGTGCAAGTCTGTCCCATGTCTTCAAAATGCCAAAGTGCAGTGCCCTTAATGGATACTAAATCCACACTATCTCGAATACCGCTCCAGAGCGCTATTCAAGGCTAAGTGTATCCCATCATGCATCATGTTCTGGAAATAAATCGTGAGACTTTTTGCCGAGATCTCGCGAGAGGTCACGGAAACCTTTCCAATGCAAGTTAAATATTAATATAATAATTAGATATTACAAATAATTTGGTAGAAAAACAGCGTTTTTACTTTTATTGGTGCAAAGATGAGTTGTGGTGATATTTATTTTGTACAACATTTGCAACTGCTTTTTATCATTTAATTAGAAGCACCACAAATTAAAATTGTCATGTTATAGGGACTACTGAACAGACATTTAGAAGTTGATTTTAAAATGCAAAGTATTTCAAATTAAAATAAACCTGTGTAAACACTTGCATAAGTGTGTCCCATCAGGTAATGAAAAGTTCGACACACACTTGTGGTCTTCACACAATGAAATGCTTTTTACAACCACTCCTGAAAATATATATAATAAAGGTAAGACATTTAAAAGTTAAAGAATAAAACTAGAATGTGGGAATAAAAGAATTTACAAAGAACCTGACTTACTTTCTTTTGTGAACATAGAAGATATTTTGAAAAATGACGGAAACTAAACATGACCCGAGTCCACTGACTTTGTATGGACAAAAAAAAAAAAGTATAATAAAATAAAAAGTATTGTTTAATGTTCAACAGAAGAAACAGTAATGTCATACAGTTTTGGAGAAACACCAGTTAAAACCAGAATTGTCATTTTTGGGTGAACTATGCCTTGAAAAAACGGTTTATTCTTGGGTTTTGCAGAAAGCAGCGTTCTTAGCCGTAATTTAAACGCGAACGCTGTTTTCTTGCCTCTCAGGAACTTTGTAGAACACAGTTCAGCACACAATGGCCTCTGACTGTGCATACGTGGCGTTCTAACAGGTGTTGGAAGAGTGCGCATGTGCGATAATTAAAGATTCCGAAAGATGCGGAGAACGCTGCGTTAAGAACAGCGCATGTAAACACGGCCGTAGCTTTTGTATCTTTTAAACACTTCTCGCAGCAGGCGTTTTTCTAGTGGTATGTAAATATAGTCATTAAGCAAAAGATTCTTTAAAAGTGTCAAACTTCAAAGCGGCGCTAAGACATTCAGGATCAGACAAAGAATACATTAAGCTTTAAAAACCACAGGGGTGGAAACACAAAGGCATGGAGCAGACGCTCACCAACCCCCACCTGCAGTTTGCCAGCAGGAGTCCGTACGCCGGCTGAATCTTTCATTCGGTGCTGCAGGCAAAACTTTGTGTGTGTGTGTGTGTGTGTGTGTGTGTGTGTGTGTGTGTGTGAGAGACCGACCGTTGCACCGACCTTTCCACTCACTCTCTGGGGCCGGTTGCACAAACATAGACACTATAAGTCTTACAAACTAATTTGACCAACTAGCAGTTAGCCAAGGTAAATCAGTTAGCAGTTAGCCAAAAGTAATCAGTCTTTACTTTTTGGATTCACATTAGGCCAATCTACCTTTTTGTAACTGACTTTAAAAAGTTTATGACCATTCTTGAAAATAAATTAGATGACTAACTTTTTAAGACTGTATAGTCTAAGCAGGTTTATGCAACCGCTGCTGTTTCTGTTGTCCTCACTGGCCTCTCTATGAGGGTCCCTTTTTATGCCATATGTAGCTGTAAGTAATAGTGGGCTACTGTTTTCTACTTGCCAATGTTCTTTACGTGTTTACAGCTACATTGCCAAAAAAGAGGATTTAAAAAGTTATGAGTTTCTTGAAGAAAAGACTAGTCTAGTCTAAGCAGTTTATGCAACCAGCCACCAGAAACTAGATTGATTAAAAAAAAAAAAAAACTTGCAAAACCAATGTTAGGATGTATTCTGTTTTATGGCTTGTAACTTTATGTGAGTGTGCAGTTAATAATGTTTGTTTCTTGATAAAATAATGTAGCTTCCAGGAGGATAACTTGCCATTTTGTTAAGGATCTGACAGTTAAATGGATATTAAAGACTAACAGGATGGAAAGTGATACTGAATCCTAGGTAATCGATTTATAGGTTTTCTTAATCAAAATAATATTTACATGTTTTCCCAAGACAGCTAAACAGATGTTTTGTTTGAAAGTTTTAATTTAGTACAAGGGAGAAAAAAAGTCAAGAAACATCTGCAATATTTCATAATCATTTCAAAAGTTAAGGGACATGGTAACATCCACCTAAAAGTGTTAAATTGTTTAACATTCATCCAATTTTCGTTCATTGTTGTGTAAGAAAGCAATGTTATAGTTTTAATATTAATTACCATAAATATGATATACAGTGGCGGAGCCAGGATGTTTTTATAGGGGTGGCCAGGGAGGGGCCAGCAACCAGTCTGCTGTGGCACAGAAATCTTCATTATTTCAGTATAAAAATGTGATTGACTATAAAAGTATTGGGCTGTTTTAGTGCCTAAAACACAACTGAACACAATTAATTTCTACTAAATTGTAATAGAGATATTTGTGAATTACATCAAGTAATGCTGAGTGAATATAACAATTTGTGTATTATTCCCCACCTCCTGGTATTTTAATAAAGGGGCTCACTATAGCTTTATTGCTCAGCCAGCTTGGTTCTGGTTCTCAAAAGCCCCAAAAGCTTGTTCTCCATCATTGCATACTCATCGATGAGACATGCAGATAGTGATAAGAACTGGCTAATAAAAAATAAAAAAGGCCGGAAGTCAACATCACATAAATGCCAGAATGTAAAATGAGTTATTTTATGCATTTAAATGGTTTCATTTTCGTTTGTAAAAAAAAATAAAAAATAGCTTGCGCCTTATATTGTGATCTCGAATTGCACAATATTTTAGTAGCCTACATGCATTTGAGAGACGTTCTTTAATGTGAGGCTACATAGGCTACATGAATGCACTAATCGCCTTTTTGGTAATTTCATGGCTTAACTGACGACAGAACTACATTGTACGTTCATAGTTTCTTGTTAGCTTTATGTATGATTTATGATGAAGCGCCTTATATTCGCGTAAAGTTGAAGAGTGTGCGCCATGAGCAACAACAGCTGTCAGGACAGGAACGTTTGTTTTACTGACATACAGCCTAACAACATCTCACTGTTGTTCTACTGAAGCTCATTTGGCACATGTTCCTTCATTTCCGCGCTCGTTTGACTTGCGCCTGGCGCTGAGGCGAAGCTGAAATATCATTACGCGCCTGAAAAGTCCCCAGTTTGATGTGGTCATGAGATACGGCGCTTCCGCGCCTTAATGAATGTATTTCTTGCAAAATGCAAAAACCGCAGTTTTGAATGTGATGGTCAAGCTTAGGTCAGTAGCGGCCACTGCCAGCCCCTGACTCCGCCCCTGATTTTATGTATGTTAGATTCTAAATTAATTCAATTTCCGAAGCATTTCATCTGATTTTAACCAGTAAAGGAAGCCCCGCCAATCGGCAGGGCATCAAAAAATTACCTTATACTCATTGTGTTCTTCCCCACGGAAATCTTTAGTAAAAGGCGAAAGATTTATACGATCTGAGGAAAAACATGAGTGTACTGATGTTCTGCTCAAACCAGGAGCTGCCAGACCAACGACAGCCCGCTTCAGAACGACGGTAAGACAAACGTTCCTTATCGCATTTTAAACTCCGCTAAACATTAGCAATATCACTAAAGACTGTTATCCATATGTCGACCGAACCAGTATAATCAAATATAATGAATAAAAAGCAATTGTTTGTGAAATAACGTGTCGTGTTGCATTGTGGGAAGACCGTGTCGTGCTCTTCCTGAGACGTCTTGCGTCATCACGTCATTTCCGTCCAGTTCCGCGACTCGAGGTCTGACCTGCAGCAGCTCGATGTTCAGAAGGAATTAAACTGGGTTTGTTTTTAATAATAAATAACCGCATAATAGTTATCGGTAAATTATCAAAACACTGGAACAATCTCGGTCATTCCAGCAAAATCCTGCTGCCGCTCGGAGCAATAAACTCGTTTGAACGCAGGCACACATTCAGGAGAGCGTGGAGACTGGAGAGAAACATTATGAAGCGGTTATCGCGGCTGCACGACTCGTACTAATCTCTGCCCCAGGTTGTGTGTTGCCCTCTTTTCCCAATTCAGCCTATTTATTATTCTTATTTAAGCACGTTTACAACAATCTCATGGATCTACTTTCCAGACTGAGTTGTGTCACTGGTTGGCGACTCAAGCGACACCAAACGGTGATGGTCTTGCTTTGCACTTTTAACGTTCACTAAAAGTGTACTTGGCAATACATACATACATAGCTACATTATAGTTTATGACAAATAAAAATACGCCTAGTTTCCGACATTCGTTCAGCATTAGTCATACTTTTCACGCATCATCAAAACTCACGATAACAAGCGACCTCACATCACATCATACTCCTCTGAACTAATTTATAAAATATGCACAGGTAATCATCACCATATTTTATCAAAATATATCCCCCCCTCCCTCATGTATAAAAACAAAATCTAAATCTAAATCTTGGCTAATCTAAACCATGTTTTAATTTTTATAACGTCAGGTTGCTTTGTTAACGTTTAGGCAATAGCCTACACTGTATAAAAAATGTTTTTGAAATAAAAAAAGACTTAAAAAATGTCATGTTAAGGTCAGGGGCGTAGATTACGCGGGGGACGCAAACACTGTGTTACAGGTCATTTTATTTTTTGTTTATTTATTTATTTATATTTATATATATATATAACATTTCTGTCCCCCTCACTTCTGAAATGATGGCTACGCCCCTGGTTAAGGTGTTGCTTTGCTGTTTCTTTGTAATTATTTGTGAAATTTAACAATTTCTGAGTGAAAGTATTTGTGTGTGTGTGTGTGCTGTATACACACACACACACACACACACTCATTTACTGTTTAATATAACTGATAGCAGAAATATAAAGTGAAGTTTATTATTATTTTAAATTGTAACCTTTATTCATCAATGTAATATATGTGGTCTGTATTTATTGTTCTTTAATAACCACTAAAATATGCACAGGTCATCGCAACAAAATAAATTAAAGATGAGAATAGAAATAAAACCTTAAAAATTCAAATGAGAAACAATGGCATAACTATGGTATTTTCTGTTTGGAGCAAAATAGATTTACCATATATACAGTAATAAACATATACAAGTGTTTTATTATTTGCACTGATTTTGCAGTTTAGTGTCTGAGTGAGAGACCTGGATTTGTATATCAGAAAAACCTGCATATGGCTGTGTTGAAAGGCCATTTTATGCACATGTACTGTATGCACAGATGCCTGTGTTTGTGCGTTTGAGTGCCTCTGTGTGTAATTGAGATCTGCTGCGCAAATGCACTAACACAAACTACACAGCATGGTTTGCTGAGTTTGCTTAAAACCAAACGCAGAAAAGAGCACAAAGACAGAAAATGTTCGATTTTATCTTTCTCAGGTGGCGCAGAAAATCAAACTATATCAGCGATTTTAAATCCCTTAAGATCTCTTTAATATCTCAACTACTTCTCCTAGACAGCAATTAGATTAAACAGAGAGCGTGTGGAAACTTTGCTCCTGCTTCTCAGATTATTTCCTTAAGAAATCTCCTCTAGAGATCTCAACAATGTCACAAACTTAACCATGAATTCCATGAAATCCTTAAAAATTAAGCAAAGAACAAGACTTGTGATGTCAATATGTGTGTGTTTATAAAAAGATAGCTCTCAATCAAAATATACTACATTCACTTTTTCTGATGGTATGTTGTTCTCAATCTCCCAGTTTCTCCATGGTCTGTGCCATGCATCAGAGCCTCTGATAGATGACACCCATTAAATAGTAACAAAGTCTCCCTCCTCAACTTCACCTGACACTCTGTCGTCTGCAAACTGACACTCTGGAGATGATCCAGGGATGAAAGGTACACTAATGAGCTCAATCGTTCGGTTTACTTTGGCACTTACCCCAAAACACCAGCTTACCTTTCAGGGCAGCATCTAGACAGACAACCGCCCTATATACTAAAGCCACTTTATCCCCTCACATCTGTCTGACTCACTTAAAGGAACACTCCACTATTTTTGAAAATAGGCTCATTTTCCAACTCCCCTAGAGTTAAACAGTTGAGTTTTACCGTTTTCGAATCCATTCAGCCGATCTCCGGGTCTGGCGGTAGCACTTTTAGCTGCTGCTTAGCATAGATCATTGAATCTGATTAGACCGTTAGCATCTAGCTCAAAAATGACCAAAGAGTTTCTATATTTTTCCTATTTAAAACTTGACTCTTCTGTAGTTACATCGTGTACTAAGACCGACGGAAAATGAGAAGTTGTGATTTTCTAGGCCGATATGGCTAGGAACTATACTCTCATTCCGGTGTAATAATCAAGGAACTTTGCTGCCGTACCATGGGTGCAGCAGGCGCAATGATATTACGCAGCGCCTGAAAATTGTCCAAGCTAGGTAACTTCCAATAAGCCTATTTTCAGGCGCTGCGTAATATCATTGCGCCTGCTGCACCCATGGTACGGCAGCAAAGTTCCTTGATTATTACACCGGAATGAGAGTATAGTTCCTAGCCATATCGGTCTAGAAAATCACAACTTTTCATTTTCCGTCGGTCTTAGTACACGATGTAACGATATACCAGATTGTGTCAAAGCAGCTTTACAGCGTTAAACAGGAAAAACGTGTGCTGATAATGCAAGAGCATGAAAACAGTCAGTTTGCCAGTTAAAGTTAGTTCATTGTTGATTCAGTGATGTCATCATCCAGCTCATTTCAGTCAGTTCAGTGCAGTCAAGTCAACAATGTTGCCAGAAATTGTGTCCCCAACTAAGCAAGCCAAAGGCGACAGTGGCAAGGAACCAAAACTCAATCGGTGACAAAAATGGAGAAAAAAAACCTTGGGAGAAATCAGGCTCATGGGGCCAGTTCTCCTCTGGTCAGACAAAACCAGCATGGTGTGGTATAATTCCAGGCTGTAACACGTGTCAGATTGAGCAGAGGACTTGTCTGGTTGTCGTGGTCTTGTGCCGACGAGGTCTTCACAGGGGATCTGTCTCTAGGGTTTGTCTAGTTGACATGGTCTCCACTGACATTCAGGGTGGTAAAGGTCGTCTCTAGGTGCTGGTCCACCATCTGGGCTGGATACAGACTGGATCTGGTGGCTACGGTGACCTCAGAATAAGAATAAAACAGACTAATATTAGTGGATGCCATTCTCCTTATGATGTAACAAGTACATTGGGTATTATGGGAAGTGTTCCCGGTTCTGGTTGACCTAATTAATCACTAACTGCGGTTACTGAAACCACGCCTTCTTTCTTTGCGTGCACATTTGGGCGGCATTATGCAAATATTTCCACATAGTGAGGTAGATATGTGGGGGCGTGTTAGAACGAGCCGTTTTAGGGGGGCGTGGCAGAGTCTTAACTTTGATAAAGAATATCTCTTTGGTTTTGAGACTTTAGTCTTTGCAACTTCAGGGATCTTATCTATTCACGAACAGCTTGTAACACTCCAAAGAGAAAGGAAAACTTGAAATCGCATCATATGACCCCTTTAACGGATTTGAATTATAGAAAAGTGATCGTGTGTTATGTGTAGGCCAGGTTAAAGAGATGGGTCTTTAATCTAGATTTAAACTGACAGAGTGTGTCTGTCTCCCGAACAAATAGGAAAAGGATCTGCCGCCCGCAGTTGATTTTGATATTCATGGTATTATCAGATGGCCAGTGTTTTGAGATTGCAGCGGACGTAAAGGACTATAATGCGATAAGAGCTCACTCAAGAGTTTAACCATTCAGGGCTTTATAAGTAATTAGCAAGATTATAAAATGTATACAATGTTTAATAGGGAGCCAGTGTTCAGTGTTCGGTGTTGACAGAACCAGGCTAATATGGTATACTTCCTGGTTCTTGTAAGAACTCTAGCTGCTGCATTTTGAACCAGCTGGAGTTTGTTTATTAAGCAACCACCCAATAAAACATTACAATAATCTAACCTTGAGGTCATGAATGCATGAATTATAATTTCTGCATTTGACATTGAGAGCATAGGTCGTAATTTGATATATTTTTAAGATGGAAAAATGTGGTTTAACAAATGCTAGAAATATGACTTTCAAAGCAAAGTTTGCTATCAAATAGCACACCTAGGTTCCTAACTGATGAAGAATTGACAGCACAGCCATCAAGTGTTAGGCGGTGTTCTAGATTATTACATGCAGAGGATTTTGGTCCAATAATTAACACCTCTGTTTTTTTCATAATTTAGCAGTAGGTAATTACTAGTCATCCAGTTTTTTTATATCAGCTATGCATTCTGTTAGTTTTATGAATTGGTATGTTTCATCGGGCCGCAAAGAAATATAGAGCTGAGTATCATTAGCATAACAGTGAAAGCTAACATCATGTTTCCTGATTATATCTCCCAAGGGTAGCATGTAAAGTGTGAAAAGCAACGGTCCTAGTACTGAGCCTTGTGGTACTCCATAGTGCACTTGTGAACGATATGATATTTCTTCATTCACTGCTACGAATTGATGATGGTCAGATAAGTATGATTTGAACCATGACAATTCAATTCCACTAATACCAATATA